AGATGATGATTTTATTATTAGTGATATGCAGTAAAACGTTATACATATATAAATATAAAATGTTCATAATATTTTGGTAATATTGTAATTACTTTTTAAGTGTTATAAATTTTATTGCAATTATATTATTAATATTTTTAATAATATTTATATCTATTATGACTTTAATTATTTAACAATTATGAATCCCAACACCCAACAATTATTATGACCACAATAAGTCATTACAGTAATTCAAATTATGATGGGTGTGGTTTGCATAAGGTTGCAATTTTAAACAGTGCACCTCCAAATTTTGTCGTAAATATGGTTTTGGTGTCAAAAGTATTTAGAATGGTTTTAGAATCTATTTTCACCTCTAATTATAAAATTTTGAACTAAAAAAGTAGTTCAAATAAAGTAGATCTATAAACACTTGAAAATCTTGAAAATTGACCGTCCAAACAATGTATTTCGAGATAAACTATTTTTAGGACTCAAAATTTTTGTTTTTTCTTTTCATATTCATACATCTCGATGTCAATATGATCAATTAGACGGTTGTCCAACATCAAAACAACTTTTTATGATGGATTTTTGAGGTGCATCTTAATTCTACATTTTAAGGTTTCAACCTTATATAAACATTTTCTAATTATTATTGATGAACTTAACTATATAAGGGAAAAAGCTGAGGTTAGCCCACTAACTAACGTTACAGTGTTAACCCAACGGTCCAATTGAATCTAGGCCGATCCAATTGTCATGATTCCATTTCGTATTTTAATTTTGGTTTTTTCTACAAATATAAATTACTTGAAATTTTGAACGTCTATTCTTTAAAAATAAGAGAATCTAATAAAAATATCAAAATAATAATAATAGTAATAATAATAATAATAATAATAATAATAATAATAATAATAATAAATTGATCAAAATATCCCCCAAAACTTTTCAAAGGCATTTTATTTAATTTCTATTTTGTGAATTATTCTTTTAAGAATTTTATTTGCTGCGCCTTAATGAGAAGAATGGATGGTTAAAATTTTATGCGATTTTTATTTATAGAAAAATATTAAAATTATATTATGAAATGAGTTCATGATCATCAGATCAGTCTAGATTTAATCTAAATCGTTGGGCTAACACTGTAGTGGGTTAACCTCAGCGTTTCCTATTATACAAATCGATAATTATGCAAATTTATATTATTTTTTTTACTTATTATTATTAAAATATTATATTATTATTAAAATATTATTCTTATAATGTAAAACGTTTATATAAGTGTGAGGCTCTAAACAATCAAATTAAGGTGCACCTCAAAACTTTTACTAGAAGAGGTTGTTTTGATGCTCAAATATTCTCAAATTGATCATCTCAACCTCAAGATGCATGGACATGAGAAAAAAACAGACTTTAAGTTTTAGAAATAGTGCATCTTGTAATGTATTTTTGGACTGTCAATTATCAAGATTTTCAAGTTTTTATAGATCAGCTCGATTTACACTATTTTTGAAGGTTTAAATTTTATAATTAAAGCTAAAAATTTATTTTAAGTCTATCACAAAGATTTTCAATATTGAAACAACATTTCTCGACACTATTGGAAGGTGTACTTTATTTTGATTGTTTAGAACCTCGACTTTATACAAAGCGCACCCATATGTAATTATTATGAATACTGTTATAATAAATAATCATTCAACTGATTTAATAATGATCAAATAATTGACAATATAATTTTTTTATAACATATATAATTATAAAAGAATAATTGCTATGTTATTCATTATGATAATGAGAATCATTTATTTATAATATTAATATAATCATTCATAATTGTTATAACATAGCAGTTTTGTCATGTTACAACATATTTACAGTAATACAATTCTATTCAGATGGTCTAAGAAGCGTAAGAACTATAAACTTTCCCTTAACTGAGTAGATGAAGTGGGTTGTATTAAGGCAGCCAATATAAAACTTTGCCAAAATTTATTTAATGTGGCTCAAGTAGGCAAGAAGATGAGAGAAAGTACATTTAAGTGGGTTGGTCATGTGTAGTGCAGACCCAGTACAGACCTCTTAGGATGTGCGTGTTGATTCAAATAGAAAGCTCAAAAAGGAGAAGGGATAGGCCCAAAAGGAAATGGTTAGAAGTAGTGAGAAAAGATATTAAGAATTATGACCTCACTCAAGTTATGACTCTTGATAAAGTAAAATGACAGATCATGATATATGTAACCGACCCCAAATAGTTGAAAAATGGCTTTGATAACGATGTTGATGATGAAATTCTATTGAGAATACAAGTATAATAGACACCCATTTTGTATATAATATATGTGTTAACGATCATTACTTGATGATTAATATAATCTCTTGTAATACTAAGAGGCAATGGATAATTAATGTAAAAATAATATTAGATAATTAAAATGGGGAGATGAAGAGAGAGAACGTAGGGTAGAGGGAGACTGTGGAAGAGGTACCGCATATTAACGTAGGACAGAAGTTAGAGCTTTAAGGAAGGAGAAATTGTTGAGATTTCCAAAGAGAGGTAAATTAAATATGTACAGGTTGGGAAGGGAATCAAGGAGGTTGGGGAGCATCTTATTGTACAGGTTGTCATGGACAATACTGCATCTAATTTGTTACGTGTAGCTTATCCTATAATTTTTTGGATACCATGTGCAACACATTGTATAGATATCATGCTTGAGGCTCTTGACGGTTTAACCGAGATATCAAGTGCAGTGAAGAAGGCCAAGTTAGTTACAAATTTTATTAGCCATCATCTCACTCTCGGCATGATGCGTATCTTTATAAAGAAGAAAGAGATTGTGAGGCTTGGGGTCACGAGATTTGCGGCCTGGTACTTATGCCTAAGCAGCATACATTCGAGAAGAGTGCAGTTGAGGCAAATATTTATCTCAAATGAGTGGAGAGCATGCAAGTGATCTAAGGATCAGGTTAAGAAGAAGGTGAGAGATATTATAATATGTAAGGCTTTTTGGAGATGGGTGAAGGGCGCTCTTAAGGTATTTTTTTCTCTTTTCAAAGTTCTTTTCATGGTTGATAATGACAAGCTTTCTATAAGCTACACATATGGTGCTGTAAAGAAATGCACTTAAGGTATTTTTTTCTCTTTTCAAAGTCCTTCTCATGGTTGATAGTGACAAGCCTTCTATGGGCTATACAATTTCAATGATGAAGTTACCCGCTACAAGCCTGTTTGGGAGATTATTGATGATAAGTGTGATAGACAGCTACATCGGCCATGGCATGCAGCTAGTTATTATTTGAACCCAGTTTTTTTTTTTATATTGACAAGGATATACAAACAAATGACACAATTATGAATGGATTTAATGAGTGTGTAGATGTGCTAGTCCCTGATCCTGATATACAGGATATTATATTGGTTGATGAGCTGATAAATTACAAGTACTCATTAAAGTCTTTTGAGAATCCAGTGGCGATGGGGTAAAGGACCAAATTAATCCAAGTATTAATAATATTCTTAAGTTTATTTTCATCAAGTTTAAGTATCAAGTAATTCTATTATTTATTTATACTTTTTTCTATATCTTTATAGCCCACTGGTGGAGCCAACAGGGGTGTAGTTCTCCAAATTTATAAAAGTTGGCCATTCGGATATTAAATCTAATCACTTCTTCATCCGGTTGTAAGCACAATTGTAGTACTTTTGAAGGGGTAAGGTCGTAAAGGAAATTTGTATACTTTTATAAATAATACATGAACCATAGATATTAGATTTTAATTAGTTTCATTTGATTTTGTTAGATTCATACAAACAAAATGAACATGTTTGAATCAAAGAGGCTCAATGACCTAGCCTATATCAAGAACAATCGATTCTTGAAGGACGTGTTTGCTAAGAGAGACCCCATCAGATCAAAAAATATGGATCATGCCATAGAGTGACTAGTTGATGATGATGAGGTCGAAAGGCATGAATGATTGACATAGGACATAGTCAAGGATGCTTCAGAGACATCAGCTGACCCTCTTAAGGCCACTAGATCTTCTGCACAAAGAACAAGGATGGAAGAAAAAGAAGCTGATTCAGAAGAAATAGAAGAAGACAGAGACGACCAATATGTCGAGGAGGGTGACCACTCCGTCGACTCTAATGAATATGATGTCAATGCAACTGACCCAAGATTTTCTGATGATGAATGTTAATTATTGAATAATTATTAAACTTTGAAATTTGAACTTTGATTGAAGTATTGTGTATTGAACTATTGAAGATTCTTTTGAGTTTTCAAATATTGTTTTCATAATTTTATAATTCAATTTTGGTTTCTTCCTCGTGATTGTGTACTGCAATACTGAAGTGATGTTATTTGATAACTTGGTTTGATAATTTAGTTAATTGTAAATTTTAAGTTTTAATTGGATATGGAGTATGAACCGACTTATGGATTATAGTTATATTTATAGAGTGTGTACTAAATGTTAATATACAATATAATTTGAATTATGTACCGCAATACATATAACTTATACTGACATAACTGCACTGTAAAATCCTTATTTGGATTCAACTGGGCCGCCCAAGTTTTGGCCGCCCACCTAAGTGCTGTGTGGCCTTGACCCCCAAGCCGCCTAGGACCCATCTAACGCTTTTTGAACTTATATAAACTTTTTCCATATATATATATGGGTTTCACATTTCTAATATGGTACTTATGAAAATGCCAATTGATTCATTCTGAATAATTCCACCTTAAAAAAGGGAAAAATTGTTTTAATCAAACACAGATTTTGGACACAATCAACCCAAATTGAACAGCTGTCCCGCAAATTTCCATTTAACTTCCCAATAGAAATTCAAGTAAAAGCAATATGACAGATTTTTATGTTGAAAAATGGTTTGTGGACAACATCCGCATGCAATCAACTTCCTTTCAAAAGATTTCCATTGATTTCTTGTGCTGAAATTGGTGGCTTTTTCTCCGCTGGAAGATGGGAGGTCGGTTAAGTTGGCTGGGAAATGAAATTTTAATGGTGTTGCAGCCTTCATGCTTCAACCACCGAGCTAGTGTTTCAAACCAAAATTGGTGGTCATTTTTTGCTTTAGTACTTGACAAATCCTGTCTCTTTCTGAGCTTTGCCCAATAGTGATTCTACCCCTCCTGTGTACAAATTAAGCTGTTTGGCAACAGCAAAACCGGCATAAACACCATCAACAGCAGCACTCATGATCCCACCTGCATATCCCGCCCCTTCTCCAATTGGGAACAATCCCTTCAATGATACACTCTCGTAAGTCTCGTTGCTACGTGGGATTTCAACTGGAGAGCTTGTCCTTGTCTGAACGTAAGATTGTTGTCAATGGTTGAGACATTGTTAGAGTTCTCTACCTTGAATTCTTTATCATTTACGAGAGAAACAGAGGAATATGAAGGAATCAACAAAAGAAATGTGGACATGGGAATTTTACATTTTCCTCAAAGCACAACAGTTACTTTTGTCAGGACATGGAAGATATATGGCCACAAGAGGAAACAAAAGTAAGATACCTCTACTCCATGAAGAAGAGCATCCTTGGATATAAATCCTGGAAGCTGGAAGTTCCATTCAATCAAGACAATATGAGTGAAACTCATGCCAAACAAGTTAAACTGTAAATAATGGACTTAATCAATAAGCTAGTTAAACTGTAAATAATGGTCTTAATCAATAAGCTAAAAGAATGGACTAACACCTCTTCATCAAACATTGTGATAGACCTCTGCAAAGCTTCTGTTATAGTAGCAGGGAACAAGTCGTGAAGGTTTGATGCCTTTACTCCCAATCGGTAACTCGATGGTGGCAAAGTGGTCACTGAGAGATAATATACAACTCATTGCCACGTTGAATACCTAGAAGCAGGCAAAGCACAGGAAAAACATAGCAATAATTCAATGGACTCCACAGGAGCATCTACCAGCCATTATCAAATGGCTAGCAGAGCATAATTGATCCTGAATGTCCTGGAGAACCCCAATGTGATGGATGGTGCATTCCTTTGGAGTACCTAATATGGTACACTTCCACAAGCAAAAACGTGAAGATTGTACCTGACAATTTGTTTTCAAGGAAGTCAGGAACTGTTTGTGCAGGCACAACAAATCTGCCGCCTCCCATGATAGCTGCTTTTCTTTCAAAGATTTTCTGAAAATCAGGAAACAACACAATAGAAGAAAAGATTAATACCTATTCCCAATTCAATGTTGAATATGGTTTACTGATCATACTTCTTATTAAGTGCTAGGAAGCTATTTCTTCTAGAAATAAAGCATATCCTGATATTTTCTTCAATTCAAATCAGTGTCCAAAAAGCTATTTCTTCTAGAATCAACATACAAATATTTCATATGTAATTTGAATGTTTTTAACAATGATTTGCAAGTTTTTCTTACCCAATGCCCTTGTTTTATATTTTCCTTTTTTTGGATTTTTTTCAAATGTCTCCAACTATAAATCAATATTTTCTAAGGAAACTTGTTTCGTGCGAGCTGGACCTAATTTCTATATATGGAAACTAACTGTCCAAATGTTTTCTTACTAGAATTATTATTTTTTGT